ATAATAATAATAATAATAATAATAATAATAATAATAATAATAATAATAATAATAATAATAATAATAATAATAATAATAATAATAATAATAATAATAATAATAATAATGGGTCTTTAGAAAATCTTTATTTTTTTTAAGTGATTGGGAAATTCGAATAACAGGTGAGTCTACCCACGCCTCCCTCTAACACCAACTCTTCAGGCCGTATAAGTAGATTTTTAGAAAATATTATTCCCACTATACACCGAGTGTTGAGCTTATCTTACTTGTGTTGTTGATTAATTTGATGTGGCCTTGTACACCCAACAATTGTTGTAAATTGACTTGACTGTTTGGGATGGTTAGACCAAACCCAGAATCGAGCAGCGTGGCTGCGGTTCTCGGCAAGGCTACCGTTGTTGCCTATTCCCATAACTGAGGACGGAGTGTTCCAAAGTGATTGGGTCGTACAAATAGGGTATAATCGCGATTATGACATTCTCTGGACAGAAGCCCGTAACTAAGGAGTTTGTCGAGCCCAGATCAGATATAAGGTTGGCTTGGGACTGCATAGTCCATACTGGAGCTTCGGCTCAATACTGGAGCTTCGGCTCAATCTGGAGCTTCAGCTCAAACTGAGACTAAAGGCCTATGTTGTTGGGAGTCACAAGGAAGAGCCTAGGATCAGGTCAAACTGACTCGCTCCGAAGCTAAACTGTTACTTAACATATTGACCTCTGCTACATTAATTAAGTTACTTTCAATCCATGGGGATTGAAATTACTGTTTTATTTCTTTAAAGTATTGTACTTGTGAAATGTCTGTTTGTATTATAAGCAATCCAAAGTTTTGAGTGCTGCCTTAAAGATATATTACGAAATATTTACAAACTAATATTTTTTCAAAACATGCATCACAAATTATTTTTTTATAATAAAGAAAATTCAGCCACACATTGCACACACTCACCCGCTCACTGAGAATTTTTGTCTCACCCCACCTATTTTTTTATTTATTTTGAAACTCCCTAGACGAAGAGCCAACCATGGTGGAAGAAACCAACTCTGGGGAAGAATTTGCCAACTGAATCATGGCCATTTTTATTATTAGCATGATCTTAAGTTATTGGGGAATGTTATTATGAAATTAAGACTAAGTATTATCTATTGTCATTTAGTACTTATTTTATTTTGAGACTATTCCGCTGCCAGTTTGTAATTTTTATTATTCAGACCATGTTGTATGACTTGTATTCCAACTATCAAACTTATTATCACCGGACTAAGTTTCAATTGTTAATTTTTATTCTTGTTGTTATTTATTGCTCGTTACTGCTTGGCGTTGCGTCCCCGTCCAAACCGGTGCGGGGGGCGTGACAGAGTGGTATCAGAGCTCGATTGTAAGAAGGACATTTACATCGAGCTAACCCAGGATAGGATCCTTGACTTTATCGGGTTACAATTTTAAGCTTCTATTATTATTATTAATATAATTCGCATTATTGTCACTTTTCATGTTTGGCTAAGTACTTTAATCATATCCATTTTACATGAGTTTTAGTTATATATATATATATATATATATATATATATATATATATATTTGACGTCTTCCACCTTTGTTAGATGCGTTTGACGATAGTATTATTATAGGTATGGACCCAATCTCTACTCTTCTGTTCTATTTGTCGTATGGTAAGTATATTGAAGGATCGAGACGGATGAGTGACCCCGACTTGATCAAGTTGTCAGATTTCAGTTCTGACTTAGATGAGTGGTGCGATTCCCAGCCTAAGTCAAGCATCCAAATGAGTGGGTGATTCCCAGCCTGGATTTCTGTGGGAGGGGACCCCCAAAAGGTGCACATGAGTACCGGATTACCGACAGTCCCATAGTTAGCCATCTTATTTGTGTATATGCAGATCTCTGGTGGGCTTCGTACTGAGAGAAGTACTACCCAACCCACTACAGAGAGAGGATAGAGCACCAGCTTCTGGCCATGAAGCAGGATGAAGCAGGGCGACCGGACAGTGGACGAGTACGAGCGCGAGTCCACTCACCTCGGTTTCTTTGTCCCCCACATGATCGGAACGAGGAGCAGAGGTCCCTCCGCTTTCGTGGCGGTCTCAAATTTGAAGTAGCTATTGCACTTAAGTACCCATGCCCTAGGGTTTGAGCCACCAAATATGGGAAAATCAATTTTAGGTACAGTGCTAGTAAATTGATTGTTCTGTGAGTGAGGTGTTTGTTGTTCATTGTTTCTATTTTTTATGCTTCCTTGTTGGTTACCACTGATATACTCATTGTGAAAGTGCAACATGGGATTTCCTAAGATAGAGGTTTCCTCATCACTGGATCTGTCCTTGCTTGTTTTGAGTAGTTGAAGTTGAATGGAGGCTAGTTTGTTCGCCATATGATCGATCTTGTTGTTGACCTCTGATTTTTGTTCATTTAGTTCTACCTGGAGGGCATCAACCGCACTTCTCATATCGGAGGTAATGAACTCCATTTGTTCCTGAAGCTTGAGTTCTATAGCCTTCCTTTTTAGTGCTTCATTTTGCAATGGCTTATCATTTCTCTTTTGGGCATCTTGCAGCTCGTTCAACCTTGTGCCTTCAGCCATATCCAAGGAAGGGTGGCTCTGGATACCAACTGTCACGATCTAGCTTAGATTTATAATTTTTGTATTTGTTTTTTTGTACTTCTAGAAGAATTTAAGGGAGAAATGAAGATGAAGATAGATAAGAGTGAGTGAGAGAGATGAGAACGAGAAAGGAGGGAGAGAAAGAATATTTTTGACATAACAAACTGTCATTTTCCTTCATTTTCGAAAAGAAAGTAGCTCTCTATAGCTAAGTCAATTACCACTTTTGTCTATGACTGAAAAAAGCTTCTAAATTACATCTAAAGAGGAAGTAGACCACATGCTCGATATAATTGACCTTGCCCAGCAAAATAATGACTCTAGGGGCAGCGACAACCATGCCTCATTGTAACACCCCACCTTACTAGACAAATCAGAGTAGCGCATTTATTCGCAAAGTCTTTGAAAACTAAAACATTTTTACTTTGCGAAACTGATTTGGGGTGCTACCGTGAA